CAGCTGTTTGAGATTCTCACTCAATTACCTCTTCATTCCCTTTCTATTTTACCAATAGCTGCAACTCTCCTCAAAATCCCCTGCTACCTTTTGTCTCAAATCCCCACGGTATCCTTTAGATTGTAAGCTCATGGGCCATCTAACTAAGCACTTTGTATAAAAGAGCTTCGCTGGCTAGTTATCAGCTTACTGGAGTTACCCTCTCTACCTTTTGTATTTGTCTGTGTATATTGTACGTTCTCCACTAATTGTACAGCGCTGCGGAACCTGTTGGCGCTTTATAAACACCAGTAATAAATAAATAAAAATAAATATATCAATAATGTATATTATAGTTACTGTATTTCAGAGTATAATATATATAATGTATATTATAGTTCCTGTATACAGAATATAATGTATATAAATTATGTATATTATAGTTACTGTATTTCAGAGTATAATGTATATAATGTATATTATAGTTACTGTATACAGTATATAATGTAAACAATGTATATTATAGTTACTGTATACAGCATATAAAGTATACATAATGTATATTATAGTTACTGTACATTATATATGTATATTATATGGACATTAGAGACACTTACTGTACAGTTACTATATACAGCGTAAAGTTATACGAATAATGTACATTAGAGACACTTACTGTACAGTTACTGTATACAGCGTAAAGTTATACGAATAATGTACATTAGAGACACTTACTGTACAGTTACTGTATATGGTGTATATTGTATATAAATAATATATATAGTTAATATTTATTGCGTATAATGTATATAAGTAATGTCTATAGTTATTGTATATAGCGTATAATGTATAAAAATAATGTATATTATGGACGCATACTGTACAGTTACTGTTTACGGCATATAATGTATATAATTGAAATAGTGATTGTTTATGGTGTATAATGTATATAATTAATGCATACAGTTATATTTGGCGTATAATGTAGATAATATAGTTACAGACTGTACAGTTACTTTTTTACGACATATAATGTAAAGAGTTATTGTATATGGTGTATAATGTATACAGTTTTGTATATGGTGTATAATATAGATAGATAATATAGTTACAGACTGTACAGTTGACAGTCTAGTCTCCTGCTGTCTGCTGTAACCCTGTTACACCTCCTTACTGTAGAGTCACTGTATATATATTACATTTAGTTAGATACGGAGTGTGTGTTTTACAATCTGTCATTCTCTGTTTATTCTCCCTTTAGTGTATTTACACCCCTCTCTCTCCATTTAGACTGCACACTTATTTCATCAGAGAGGAATTTATTTTTATTTACTCATTGTACAGCGCTGTGGAACATGTTGGCACTTTAACAACAAAAATCCAATCATGGAGAAACATAGATCCAGTCTCTGCATTAGGCAGTATGTTATATTGTGCTTTAATGCAAAATTAAACTCACATGCACTAACCAAATATCGAGTTATTTCCTAAACTGAGATTTGAACGTGAATATGAAATTTAATGTCAAACTTGCTGATCTGGAAAAATTCTCTGTCAGCTATGCTTACAGTTCTGCTAGTCTGGCCTAAATTTGTATTTTTAATTCATTTTGAATTCTTATGTTAGAGAATAAAGCTGTCACACTAGCCGTGCATTGAAAACCAGCATAGAGACTAAAATATCCCAGCTCAGCTGTGATTGTAGCGAAGTTTAGGATTTCCCCAATTCTCCAATTTCAGCATTTTTGGTGGTTAGTGAATAAACCTCATGGTGTCAGAGAGGACGTCTATCATATAAAAGAAGGACCTTAATTCGGGAAGTCTAACTGACCTAGACTGAGACACGTGCTGCATGGAAGTCCGAAATGTCAGCTTCTCCTTATCTGTAATTGGTTGATAGAACAGACAGGCGCTAATCCCTCCGTTGCCTCTTCCCTCCTCAGGGTGGCCGGCCGCTGCTCCCTACTTTTAATTAACAACCTGGCGAGTTACATTTAGAAGATTTTTTAACCCTGGACCTATTATAGACGCACGCAGAGCGTCGTCCTCTTAACTCTCTGCCTGCTGCATTAATGCTCTGCACTGCAGAGCCGTGTATACGTGGATTTAAACTTGGATTTAAGTTTTGAAATCCTTTTAAAGAAGTATTTTTAAAGCAAAGTTTGAATCCACGATTATACTAAGCCTCTACAAATCAGGCGAAGATTAGGGCTGCTATATTCTGCTTTTAATAAGGGATGCTGATGCAGAATGTGCATTTCATCAACCTTTTATATGTCTACCTCATTAAATTTACCTTCAGAATCTGTCTGCACTCTGGGTTTTGGTTTTCAGATGGTGTAGTAGTTTTTTTAGTTACTCGGCTTCTGAGGTGGCTCTTATTTTAGATCTGCAAAATCTCTTACTTATGTCTTTCTGTGCATTTTCTTTGCAAATACTGCAGAATCACTGAACACTGAATTGTAGTGGAAACCACCAGTAACATTGAAGCTAAAATAACCGTTACACTGCAGGTTGGTGTTTAGTGAACAGGCCCCTTTATGTACAATTCTCCTTCTAATAAAAATCTATGCTAATAGAAAAGGCCTCTAACAATGGATAAAATATACCTACGTCTATCCTCTGTCCCTACTCTGATGTTCGCCTTCAAGACTTCTCCAGGGCAGCAGCTGTTCTGTGGAACTCCCTTCCCCTCTCTGTTAGACTTTCACCTAGACTCCACTCCTTCAAAAATTCTTTGAAAACTCACTTCTTCAGGAAACAATTAAACTGTTAGCAGGTTTTTATCCCAACACTCAGACTCCCCTCTTGCAACTGTCAAAAATAACCTACTAATCCCTCAGGGAATATTATTCTGGAAACCTACTTCGTTACCCCTATTTACACCCTTTGTGTCACTATACCCCACTCCCTCTAGCATGTAAACTCACTGAGCAGGCCCTCAATCCCTCTGTTACTGTGTCACTATACCCCACTCCCTCTAACATGTAAACTCACTGAGCAGGCCCTCAATCCCTCTGTTACTGTGTCACTATACCCCACTCCCTCTAACATGTAAACTCACTGAGCAGGGCCCTCAATCCCTCTGTTACTGTGTCACTATACCCCACTCCCTCTAACATGTAAACTCACTGAGCAGGCCCTCAATCCCTCTGTTACTGTGTCACTATACCCCACTCCCTCTAACATGTAAACTCACTGAGCAGGGCCCTCAATCCCTCTGTTACTGCCACTATACCCCACTCCCTCTAACATGTAAACTCACTGAGCAGGGCCCTCAATCCCTCTGTTACTGTGTCACTATACCCCACTCCCTCTAACATGTAAACTCACTGAGCAGACCCTCAATCCCTCTGTTACTGTGTCACTATACCCCACTCCCTCTAACATGTAAACTCACTGAGCAGACCCTCAATCCCTCTGCTACTGTGTCACTATACCCCACTCCCTCTAACATGTAAACTCACTGAGCAGGGCCCTCAATCCCTCTGTTACTGTGTCACTATACCCCACTCCCTCTAACATGTAAACTCACTGAGCAGGCCCTCAATCCCTCTGTTACTGTGTTACTATACCCCACTCCCTCTAACATGTAAACTCACTGAGCAGGCCCTCAATCCCTCTGTTACTGTCACTATACCCCCACTCCCTCTAACATGTAAACTCACTGAGCAGGACCCTCAATCCCTCTGTTACTGTGTCACTATACCCCACTCCCTCTAGCATGTAAACTCACTGAGCAGGGCCCTCAATCCCTCTGTTACTGTGTCACTATGCCCCACTCCCTCTAGCATGTAAACTCACTGAGCAGGGCCCTCAATCCCTCTGTTACTGTCACTATACCCCACTCCCTCTAACATGTAAACTCACTGAGCAGGCCCTTAATCCCTCTGTTACTGTGTCACTATACCCCACTCCCTCTAACATGTAAACTTACTGAGCAGGCCCTCAACCCCTCTGTTACTGTGTCATTATACCCCACTCCCTCTAACATGTAAACTCACTGAGCAGGCCCTCAATCCCTCTGTTACTGTGTGACTATACCCCACTCCCTCTAACATGTAAACTCACTGAGCAGGCCCTCAATCCCTCTGTTACTGTGTCACTATACCCCACTCCCTCTAACATGTAAACTCACTGAACAGGGCCCTCAATCCCTCTGTTACTGTCACTATACCCCACTCCCTCTAACATGTAAACTCACTGAGCAGGCCCTCAATCCCTCTGTTACTGTGTCACTATACCCCACTCCCTCTAACACGTAAACTCACTGAGCAGGCCTCCAATCCCTCTGTTACTGTCACTATACCCCACTCCCTCTAACATGTAAACTCACTGAGCAGGCCCTCAATCCCTCTGTTACTGTGTCACTATGCCCCACTCCCTCTAACATGTAAACTCACTGAGCAGGGCCCTCAATCCCTCTGTTACTGTGTCACTATACCCCACTCCCTCTAACATGTAAACTCACTGAGCAGGCTCTCAATCCCTCTGTTACTGTGTCACTATACCCCACTCCCTCTAACATGTAAACTCACTGAGCAGGGCCCTCAATCCCTCTGTTTCTGTGTCACTATACCCCACTCCCTCTAACATATAAACTCACTGAGCAGGTCCTCAATCCCTCTGTTACTGTGTCACTATACCCCACTCCCTCTAACATGTAAACTCACTGAGCAGGCCCTCAATCCCTCTGTTACTGTGTCACTATACCCCACTCCCTCTAGCATGTAAACTAACTGAGCAGTGCCCTCAATCCCTCTGTTACTGTGTCACTATACCCCACTCCCTCTAACATGTAAACTCACTGAGCAGGGCCCTCAATCCCTCTGTTACTGTGTCACTATACCCCACTCCCTCTAACATGTAAACTCACTGAGCAGGACCCTCAATCCCTCTGTTACTGAGTCACTATACCCCACTCCCTCTAACATGTAAACTCACTGAGCAGGGCCCTCAATCCCTCTGTTGCTGTGTCACTATACCCCACTGCCTCTAACATGTAAACTCACTGAGCAGGGCCCTCAATCCCTCTGTTACTGTCACTATACCCCACTCCCTCTAACATGTAAACTCACTGAGCAGGGCCTCAATCCCTCTGTTACTGTGTCACTATACCCCCACTCCCTCTAACATGTAACCTCACTGAGCAGGGCCCTCGATCCCTCTGTTACTGTGTCACTATATCCCACTCCCTCTAACATGTAACCTCACTGAGCAGGGCCCTCGATCCCTCTGTTACTGTGTCACTATACCCCACTCCCTCTAACATGTAAACTCACTGAGCAGGACCTCAATCCCTCTGTTACTGTGTCACTATACCCCACTCCCTCTAACATGTAAACTCACTGAGCAGGGCCCTCAATCCCTCTGTTACTGTGTCACTATACCCCACTCCCTCTAACATGTACACTCACTGAGCAGGGCCCTCAATCCCTCTGTTACTGTGTTACTATACCCCACTCCCTCTAACATGTAAACTCACTGAGCAGGACCCTCAATCCCTCTGTCACTGTGTCACTATACCCCACTCCCTCTAACATGTAAACTCACTGAGCAGGCCCTCGATCCCTCTGTTACTGTGTCACTATACCCCACTCCCTCTAACATGTAAACTCACTGAGCAGGCCCTCGATCCCTCTGTTACTGTGTCACTATACCCCACTCCCTCTAACATGTAAACTCACTGAGCAGGGCCCTCAATCCCTCTGTTACTGTGTCACTATACCCCACTCCCTCTAACATGTAAACTCAGTGAGCAGGGCCTCAATCTCTCTGTTACTGTGTCACTATACCCCACTCCCTCTAACATGTAACCTCACTGAGCAGGCCCTCAATCCCTCTGTTACTGTGTCACTATACCCCACTCCCTCTAGCATGTAAGCTCACTGAGCAGGCCCTCAATCCCTCTGTTACTGTGTCACTATACCCCACTCCCTCTAACATGTAAACTCACTGAGCAGGCCCTCAATCCCTCTGTTACTGTGTCACTATACCCCACTCCCTCTAACATGTAAACTCACTGAGCAGGATCCTCAATCCCTCTGTTACTGTCACTATACCCCACTCCCTCTAACATGTAAACTCACTGAGCAGGGCCCTCAATCCCTCTGTTACTGTGTCACTATACCCCCACTCCCTCTAGCATGTAAACTCACTGAGCAGGCCCTCAATCCCTCTGTTACTGTGTCACTATACCCCACTCCCTCTAACATGTAAGCTCATTGAGCAGGCCTTCAATCCCTCTGTTACTGTCACTATACCCCACTCCCTCTAACATGTAAACTCACTGAGCAGGCCCTCAATCCCTCTGTTACTGTGTCACTATAACCCACTCCCTCTAACATGTAAGCTCACTGAGCAGGCCCTCAATCCCTCTGTTACTGTGTCACTATACCCCACTCCCTCTAACATGTAAACTCACTGAGCAGGCCCTCAATCCCTCTGTTACTGTGTCACTATACCCCACTCCCTCTAACATGTAAACTCACTGAGCAGGCCCTCAATCCCTCTGTTACTATGTCACTATACCCCACTCCCTCTAACATATAAACTCACTGAGCAGGGCCCTCAATCCCTCTGTTACTGTGTCACTATACCCCACTCCCTCTAACATGTAAACTCACTGAGCAGGGCCCTCAATCCCTCTGTTACTGTGCGTCCACTTGTCCTGTTAAAATTATGTTGGTTAGTCCACCCATTGTACAGTGCTACTGAATTTGCTAGTGCAATAGAAATAATAAAATAATGTTTTTTTCATTTTAAATGGGAGATAATATCGGCCACCCCTTGGCAGTGTCTTTTGGTAGAACCTAAGCAAATGTGCTGCTAGTCCCTAGTCCGTGTGTTCAATAAACTACAAACTGTAGTTAATTGTAAACCGAATTGCAAAATGTAGACTGTGGCGAAACCAACCTCGCCACTATGCACTGGAGAAGCCTGGTTGCCAGCCTCCTGCCTTCTGACTATGGCCCCCTTGTGAATTCGTACTTTTGTATGCAATATTTGGGCATGTGACATTTTTATATTGCTGCTACTGGCCCTTTAAGGGCCATCCGTGGACATATTCTGACTGTTAGGAATAATGCCCTTTAAGATTGTGTAGCAAATTGCATTCAGGCTGTATTTAATATTATGTGTTCGGTAAACATTGTTATGTGTATGCAGCATTCGTCTGATTGTTCGGTAGAATTACTCCATTCATTATATTGGGTGAAACTACCGAACAACCAGACCACCCTGGAGTAAGTGTGCCTCCAATTACCGTTTGCAACAATGTTGCAAACGGGTAATTGGCAATATGTGTAATGTGTGTTTTGTCCTCTGGGTGGCCGCCATTCGGGAAACGAACACGTGGCGGCGGCCATCTTAAACTCCCGAACAGCGGTGTTTTGCCGTCGAGTGTCTGGAACTAAAATCGGACACTCGACTAAGCAAACACCGCTGAGACCTCCAGACTTCCAGCAATTCGTGCAGAAACTACCGAACGGCCCGCCGTTCGGTAGAAAGGATCCCACGAACAGGGGGATTCATACGAATCCTCCCCAAGCTCTATAACCCAGGCAATTCGTGTGATTCATTCCCTTTTCTGTGACCGACTGCAGGGCCAAAGTACATGGAACTATTTTCGGATACTTTTGCCATGCAGTCGGTCAAAACTTTAACCCTTTATAATTCCTGAACCCCTGGTCCGATCTGGGTGATTTTCGGATATGTGTCTCACCCAGATCAGGGCTACCAGGGGATGTAACATGTTTAGGGGTACATCCAGTATCCCAGGGAATTTGTGTCTGTACTAATGGGATTATGTGTCACACTAAGGGGAGAAGATGTGTGGGAGGTAACTGGTACATTATTGGCTGGGGTACTAATTGTTGTAGATCCCTCCCTTGCATGGGAGAATGTCTTAAAAGGAGGTTGTGTGAATAAATCTAGAGATTCTGCTTAACCCTCAAAACAAAGTGTCGTCTCGTTATTGGGGGAATTGGATTGTGTGCTGACTGCCAGGAGTGTAAGCCGTTTGTATTGCTTTTCCTGTTCGGCTGCTTCCAGAGTTCATGTATTTCTTGTTCGTGAGTTGGGGATTCGTACAGTTTGGAGTTCGGGAGGTTGGTGATTGCAGTAGCTGCTGGTCTATGGGAAAGGGGATTATCGCCTAAACGGATTTATCCCCTTGTGAGAGAAACGGTCCGTTACATAGACCAAAATAAATGACCAGGAAGAATCGTTAATTTACTTAAACTTTTCTAGTTACAGCAATTTTGGTCTGAAATCTCATATCTCCGTTGTTAATTATGCACAATTTATGTTTCAGTGAGTGCATTGGGCCACTGGCACTGTGGAAACAGTCACAGTCCCACAATGCAGTTCTCTTCCTCTTTGCCGTATCTCCCCTTGCCGAGATGAGGACGTTCATTAGCAATGTGCCTTGCTCGGCATTCCCTTAGGACGGGAAGAGGTTTGTAGATAAATCCATTGTCGGCATTTTCTCTGTAGCGTGGACCTGCAGAATGCAATCCGTGGCCTGATGCACTATTCTGTTTAAACATATATCCTAATGGAAACCCTTATAGGAATGTGTTAAAGTAGCCTATTCGTTATTAAAATGATTTGGGAATAGTTTAGCATTCTCAGAATCAGCAAAGGGCAGGGATGTTTCCTTTTATGAAAAGGTGTCAATTTATGGGGATGATAAATGTTTTATTTCCAAATTATAAATATACCAGATAAACACTTAATGCTGAGTGTAGATTTTTTGTGTTTACATCATACAGAAATAAAAAAAATAAAAATGAAACCGATAACGTGAGTAGCAATATGTTACTAAAAACCAGAGCCAGGTGCAATTTGGTAAGACAGGTCCTGTTGACTACCAAGAGCAGGGTGCCTGTTTTCAGACATTTGGCACCTATGTGGCATGGTATTACTGAATGCTGAGCACTTCCCAAGTGACTGGGCACGTCTGCTCGATAATGACTACCAATATAGGTAAAAGAGCAGACAAGGCACCATAACTACAGCCCACTTTTGTGGTAGTTGTGGGATGAGTCCCATGGCCCCATCCCATGATAAAGAGTTACAATGTTGTCAAATGATTTGACATTTACCTTGTTGCACCAGGCCCTCCTTCCAGTCACCAAAATGTTATCCCTATTTATACATCATGTATTGGCTAAGATTGTCTGTCTGTTGATTAATCTCATATTGTAGTTATTTGGTAATACATTCTTTTAACGTGATATTTACAGTGCATGCACAATAAGATTCGCTACAAAGCCAAATGAATCGGTGTGTCTGTTTTTCATGCACAATTTTTCTTTACATTTTTTTTTTACATTTGCATCTGGCTGGTTCATACTCCTTGTATGTCTAGGTTGGACAGATTGGAACATTCTCATACCCCCACAATTCGTGTTTAATTAATGAAGCATGTCAAGAAAGCGGGTGGAATGTTTGCGCATAACAGAATAGTCACCCAAACAAAATGTAGAGACCGTGCTATCTGCTAATCCAAAGTGTAAGTCGTGACTACAACATGAGGTCATCACCAGTCATGTCATCTCAAAAATTATTATTTTTATACAAAATCATCCATTTGTTAATCCTGGGAAATCGAATCTCGCACGCTGGCAGGGTAACATTCTGGGATTCTGCTGCTATTGATACGGAATCCTGGGTATCATTCCATTTCACTGTTACATTAGATGTTGGTAACTTTGCCCAGGAAACCGCAGCCAGAGCATATTTGCAGACAAATCAAGCAGAAGATCATTATTTGACAAATTAAGTGCAGTGGTCTCTGGGAATTATGTATCAAGCATCACAAATTGCTGTTTTGTCGTTTCATATGCTGTGAGAGGCTCACGTTTTTTACTGCCATGTGCTATTCTAACTGAGGTTATAGAGGGATCAGAGCAAAAATAAATATATTTACAGATAGTAAAGATCAGTATGACACCATAACTCAAAATATATATTGTGTGAACAGTAAAGGCTTTATAATGTTAATTAAAGGGACATGCATAGGTGACAACAGTCCAGATTTTGCCAGGACAGTCCTGCATTTTGGGGTACTGTCTTAGCAAATAGAGGACATAGAGACCTGTCTTGCATTTTTAACTATGCTGGCAGGAGGGAACTGGGCACTAGGGATAACTTCAGCAGCTGGAGGGGACAGACTGTAAGTCAGTCTGGCCATCCTCGTCAGGGGCAGGCTCACCCGACTGATGGATATGCATGCCTACCTTAATGAACAAAAAACAATAAGGAACTGCACTCAATTCCATCAATCTGAGCCAGGGTGCACCCAAAGCAGGACCAAGCACCAGGTTCCAATGGCAATAGCATAATATACAAAGATGGTTCAGGCACTCCAACATTCAGAAATGGCAAATTTATTGAAACCCCAAGTAACACAACGTTTCGACCTTGCGGTCTTTCTTAAGCAATGTCAAGCTTGACAAAGACCGCAAGGTCGAAACTTTGTGTTACTTTGTGCTTCAATAAATTTGTCATTTTTTAATCTTGGAGTGCCTGAACCATCTTTGTATCTTGTACTTTAATGAATAGTCATGCCCTAGTTAACTGGCTGATGTGCCCTCTTCCACCTGCTCACTTTCCTGCCCATCCCTGTACAAGTGTGGGCAGGGAATATTGGAGGTATGGACATGCCACCCTAACAGACTTCCTGGCAAGGGCATAATTCAAATAGTGCCCAGAGTGACGTGCCATATGTAACCATATTTAGTTCTTATTTATGTTCTTATTTAGTAGTTGGTACCCCCTTTAGACTTCTTGACAGGCTTAACACAAGATTTTGGAGTGTTTCTGTGGGAAGTTTTGCTCATTCATTCAGTAGAGCATTTATGAGGTCTGACACTGATGTTGGCAGAGAAGGCCTGGCTCGGAATCTCCGTTCCAATTCATCCCAAAAGTGTTCGATGGGGTTGAGGTCAGGGCTCTGTGTGGGCCAGTCAAGTTCTTCTACACCAAACTCATCCAACCTTGTCTTTATGGACGTTGCTTTGTGCATTTGGGCACAATCACGATGGAGTAGAAAAGAGTCTCCCTCAAACTGTACCCACAAAATTGGAAGCATAGCAGCACACAAAATGTCTTGGTATGCTGACAAATTAAAGGACCACTATAGGCACCCAGACCACTTCAGGTCCAGCTAGGGTTAACCCTTTTTTTTTTTTATAAACATAGCAGTTTCAGAGAAACTGCTATGTTTATAATAGGGTTAATCCAGCCTCCAGTGGCTGTCTCTTGACAGCCGCTAGAGGCGCTTGCGTGCTTCTCACTGTGAAAATCACAGTGAGAAGACACCAGCGTCCATAGGAAAGCATTGAGAATGCTTTTCTATGGACTGGCTGAATGCGCACGCAGCTCCTGCCGCGCATGCGCATTCAGCCGAAGAGGAGGAGAGCTCCCCGCCCGGCACGGGAAAAAGAGGTAAGTTTAACCCCTTCCTCTCCATCCAGCCCAGCGGGAGGGGGACCCTGAGGGTGGGGTACCCTCAGGGCACTATTGTGCCAGGAAAAGAAGTATGTTTTCCTGGCACTATAGTGGTCCTTTAAGATTTTCCTTCACTGGAAGTAATCCTGAAAAATAGCCCCACACCATTATACCTCCTCCACCAAACTTTACATGGGGCACAATGCAGTCGGGCATGAAACATTCTCCTGCCACCCGCCAAACTCAGACCCTTCCTTCACACTGCCAAACAAAGAAGTGTGATTTGTCACTTCACAGTTTCTATTGTTCCAGAGTGCAGTGATGCCGTGCTTTACACAACTCGACAATATGCTGGCGTTGTACTTGGTGATGTGAGGATTGAATGCAGCTGCTTGACCATGGATACCCATTCCATGAAATGACCACCGTACAGTTTGTGTGCTGATATTAATGCCAGATGAAGTTATGAACTCTTCAGATTTGGAATCAGCAGAGCGTTGGTGACTTTTTTTTTTAATGTCTTAATTTTTCTTTTCTTTTTTTAATAAACCACATAAATACAGTAAATACAAAAAAAAGTTAATGGGGATACAGAAAAAAGAGAAGGGAAAGGAATAAATAAATTTGCTCTGTGGAGCTACATCAAATGCAGTTTAATATTATTACATTGGAAAATATTTCAAAACATACATTTAGTATTTTTACATATTTCTGACGTATGCAATAGAGAATACACCAAAGCGTAAAGAATCTTAAATTCTTTCCCCCTTTTACTTATAACGACTATAGCTATATATCCTTACTTTTCTGTTTATTAACCTATTAGATTGAATTTGGATTTTAGCCACGGGTGATTCATTGATTAATTAATTTTTTGATCACTCAACTCTACGTTAATTTTCCTTTGGCTTAATGATCCTAACTTATAGTCATAATATCATCTTAATATTGCTCTCTATCTACCTATCTCTTGTAGCTCTCCAACTCAAAGCAAATAAACAAAGACATTTTTTATTTTTTTTAAAAAGGAAGGGGGAGGGTAATCCTAGACCTGTAGGTCTAGAGCGTTGGTGACTTTTACGGACCATGCGCCTAAGCACTTGGTGACCCCGCTCTGTGACTTGGCCGTGGTCTTCCACTTCTTTTCTGCTGATCCTAAACGCTTCCACTTTCCAATAATACCACATATAGTTAACTGTGGAATAACAAGCAGGGATGAAATTTGACAAACTGACTAATTGCAGAAGTGGAATCCTATCACAGTTCCACGCTTGAATTCACTGAGCTAAACAAAAAACAAGCCATTTTTTCAAAAACATTTGTAAATGCAGGCTACATGGCTAGGTTCTTGATTTACTATACCTGTGGCAATGCGTCTGGTTGAAACATTGTCGGCTTTAATGAAAACCCTGCAGCCATCACTCGTTAGGACTTTTGGGAAAGCTATCTTCTCACAACTCAAACAGGTAATTCTATGGAGGTTCCTTCTGATATTGTCCAGAGATCTCTGTGTTGTACTTTCAAGCATGAGAGTTTTGTGGTCTCCTGGCATATAAAATGCCAGGGACTGAAGATTGACCCCATGGAAAACATAGCAGCACCCATGAGAGAGACCTGCAGGTCAGGAGATCTTCCTTTGACATCTTCCACAGGTTGTCCCACACCAAACAGGTGTCAACTTTGAGTGTTTACAAAATTATGCAAAGACCTCGAAATTGACCAAGCCAATATATATATATATATAAAACAATTGTTTGTTACACTATATATCTATGGCAATAACCTCTTTGATAAATAACACACTTTAATCTGTGCTACATATTCTATAACATAGCAACAGTTAGCTTCATGATAGTTCCTCTTTAATAACCAAGTTAAAAATATAGTGCTCAGCTTCGTCTTTCTGGGCTGGCTGCACGTCATGGGATTTTTAGTCCATAGGAACTAAAGTGTTTAAAAAAAAAAATCCCCAGCTGGGAAATCCTTCTAAATCCTTTCACACTGGGCGACTTGCGGGTTAGTGTACTGCAGCTAATAGTTTAATAATTACTCTGCCAGTTTTCATATTTATAGGTTTATACAGCTGTGTCCTCTATTATTCGCGTCCCTAGGGTTCCCCATCCTTTGTTAATGATTCCTGTTGGCGCTGTGTGTCCCAGCCTCCCGTCAAGGCTCGCTTTGCAGCATTCTGGGCATAAGAAGCGCAATGAAATGACATGTGATAGAGGGCCTGGCTGTATACCTGTAATTTTAATTATAATATAATTATAGTTCTGGGTTCCATTTTATTTACTCGTTTAGTAATTATCTCTTTTTAGAGAGTGTGTTGTGCTTGCAAATATGTTACTTTATTCTGGGTTGGATATTTTAACGTTTTTTTTTTTTTTTAACGTACTGTATGTGAGTGTAAACATGTCGATAACCTGTTGTTTTCCAGACCGTATGCAAATTTGGAGAATCACGTACGCACAGTGATTTCATGTACCCTGTATATTAGTGTACAGAACCATATACAGAACATTCACTGCTTTCAAGGCATGGCTGTTGTTATTATTTATTATTATTATTATTATTTTGGAGGAAAATCTGGTTTTAAAAAAACATCTGCTTTTTATTCTGAATATCACCTAGTAACTGAGAAAAGCCGTACTTTTTGAATTTTGCTTCTAAACATTTAGTGCATCCGATGTTTGGAGAAATATGATTAAAATGCATGTCTATCCATTAATTTGATTTGGGTGAGAGCATGATTGGAGATTGAGGAGGGTGTAATGGATATCCAGTACAATGCTACAGAATATGTTGGTGCTATGAGTAATTAAGTAACTGTAATGATAGTAATACCATGTAAAATAATAAAAAAGGGTACAACAATGCATCATAACAACTAAAATAATATATATATAATAATAACAGTTAATTACACTTATTGTTCATGTCTCTTTTATATTGTGAGTGTCTGAGACCAATGGGATATTTTAACATTTTGTTGCAGCAGGTGGGCAGGAGATGAGTGGTCTTTGCTACGAGTCCCAAATCTTTATTCTATTCATTGTGTACCCCCAACATTGGGAGATATAGATAAGGGACGGAGGGTTTGCAGACCCCATGTGGGCGGTGATGAGGAGGTGAACCTGGTCTGGAAAGGGGGTGGGCCACCGAAAGTAGGCTGTATCAGTGTGCCTGGCCCCGCTAAGGACCATTGAAGAATTCTTCCATGAGCCCTGAATATTTGTGCGGAAAAGCAATGTCTAATGATGCTCTTGCTAAACACTTCTCTTGGAAAATGTTCCTGGTCTCCCCAGAAGCATTACTAGGGAATATGGGACTGTCCTGACAAATCCAGGGCTTTTGGGAGGTATGCACTCGCAGTTAGAAGTAAAATGTAGGCCACAATCACTCTGCCATGTGAGACTAAGCTCTGCAATGCGGCTATTATCTCCCCTGAGAGTGTGGTCACAGATGAACCCACTCTGTTAATGCTTTAGTGTTCTAACGAAAGAATATTACTATGTATGACGTTTCTATGCTACCCAATTCCGACTGTCCTATTCATTAAGCCAGAAATGGTGGGCAATGGATGAGAAGTGGCCTATAATCTGTGGTTCTGTATCCTAAAACAGATTTTAAGTAGTAGAACCAAGCACAATCTAATAGTCAGGCCCCAGACAGCTGCTGACAATATTATAACTGAGGAATTGGTCAACAAGATGGAGCCATGTACGTAATTTGGATCCCTATGAAAAGGATTAAGAACCTACCTTATATCAGCTGCATCTGCTAAAGAGCAAGTCCGTGTAGCCACTACCCTTTTAGTGTAAACGCTTTATGACATTTCCATCAAACATTCCACTCTTAGAAGCGTGACCTCTGCGTTTTTTCTCCTCGCTGCCTCTCAGACCTATTGTACACAAGCGAGTCTTATTGAAAAAAACATACTTTTAATCTAAGTTATATTACCTTCCACAGCCAGGAAAACTGCATTATAAATAACTCTTTAATAAGACAGCGCCTTCCGTTTGTACACCACGCTCATCCTTGAGACACCTCACTGGGAAAATCTAAGCATCTCTGCGCAAATCACTCAAATATGATTGAACTCACTGATCCTTCCAGGTCTGCAGGAATACAAATCACAGAGCTCCACGGCAATACGACTTTAATATTGCAGGAATACAAATGTCGCCTGTTTTACTCAGCAGCAGAGTTTGCTGGAGGAAACCTGCGCAGGATTCTCTGTTTTAAAATGTTTCATAGAAGGATTGCATAGAATGATCTACTGGTAACATCAGGACACAAACATCTATTCTCTCCTCATTTTATAGGAGCTCAGCATGCTGGTATAAATACACAACAGAGCTTCTCAGCAATAAGACTGATAAATAATATGAGTATCACAGAGCTCCACAGCAATAAAACTCTTATTAATATGGATTGATAATGTATCACAGAGCTCCACAGCAATAAAACTCTTATTAATATGGAGTGATTATGAATGTATCACAGAGCTCCACAGCAATAAAACTCTTATTAATATGGAGTAATTATGAGTATGTCACAGAGCTCCACGGCAATGGTGCTTTTTTAATATGGAGTGATTTTGAGTATCACAGAGCTCTACAGCAATGGTGCTTTTTGTAATATGGAGTAATTATGAGTATATCACAGAGCTCCACGGCAATGGTGCTTTTTGTAAAATGGAATGATTATGAGTATATCAAAGAGCTCCACAGCAATGGTGCTTTTTGTAAAATGGAATGATTATGAGTATATCACAGAGCTCCACAGCAATGGTGCTTTTTGTAATATGGAGTGATTGTGAGTATCACAGAGCTCTACAGCAATGGTGCTTTTTGTAATATGGAGTGATTGTGAGTATCACAGAGCTCTACAGCAATGGTGCTTTTTGTAATATGGAGTGATTGTGAGTATCACAGAGCTCTACAGCAATGGTGCTTTTTGTAATATGGAGTGATTTTGAGTATCACAGAGCTCCACGGCAATGGTACGTTTTTAATATGGAGGGATTGTGACTATCACAGAGCTCTACAGCAATGGTGCTTTTTGTAATATGGAGTAATTATGAGTATATAACAGAGCTCCATGGCAATGGTGCTTTTTGTAATATGGAGTGATTGTGAGTATCACAGAGCTCTACGGCAATGGTGCTTTTTGTAATATGGAGTAATTATGAGTATATCACAGAGCTCCACGGCAATGGTGCTTTTTGTAAAATGGAATGATTATGAGTATATCACAGAGCTCCACAGCAATGGTGCTTTTTGTAATATGGAGTGATTGTGAGTATCACAGAGCTCTACAGCAATGGTGCTTTTTGTAATATGGAGTGATTGTGAGTATCACAGAGCTCTACAGCAATGGTGCTTTTTGTAATATGGAGTGATTTTGAGTATCACAGAGCTCCACGGCAATGGTACGTTTTTAATATGGAGGGATTGTGACTATCACAGAGCTCTACAGCAATGGTGCTTTTTGTAATATGGAGTAATTATGAGTATATAACAGAGCTCCATGGCAATGGTGCTTTTTGTAATATGGAGTGATTGTGAGTATCACAGAGCTCCACAGCAATGGTGCTTTTTGTGATATGGAGTAATTATGAGTATATAACAGAGCTCCATGGCAATGGTGCTTTTTGTAATATGGAGTGATTGTGAGTATCACAGAGCTCTACGGCAATGGTGCTTTTTGTAATATGGAGTAATTATGAGTATATCACAGAGCTCCACGGCAATGGTGCTTTTTGTAATATGGAGTGATTTT